CAGGTATACAAATCTGAATGAGACTATTCTAGTCCCTGTTCATGCGGAGATTACTATCCAGCCAAGAAAACATAATTGATGCTTGGTTATGGTTAAAAAGCAATGCAGGCACTACGAAATTGTACAACTTTCCAGACTCAGTTTTTTCAGTTTATGCTAGAATCAGCCTTGCTACTCAGAGCAGCCTGCAGACAATGAGGTCTGGGAACTTGTCAGTCTCTAACCAGACCTCCCAAATCAGGATGTGCTCTTTAGCAAGTTCCCAGGGGATTTATGGGGCACATTATGGTTTGAGAAGCACTGGCCTACAGGATAAGTGGGAATCAAGAGTGGAGGGAGGGGGGAGGCCTGCCAAGCCCTGAAGCAGGCTCTCAGTGGGAAGGCACCTGGCACTTTGAGCCCGGGAAGGAAGACCAATACACTGGGACCAAGACCAGACATGTTCACAGCTGGGAGACACTGTCACTGCAACTCTTGTGAAGAGAAACAGAGAAGAGATGTGGTAGCTGGGAGCTCACTGATTGCCTCATTGTGTCTAGTACAACACGAGGCAGAACACACAAGCCAATCATAGCGCTCCTATGAATAGTTTATCAAATTCACGCAAGCAGTTAGTGATGTAAAAATACTCTTCAGCTCTAACTTTACATATTGGGGGAGTGAAGTTAGAGGGGTTGGTTACAAATGGTGGAATCTGTGGGGTTTAAGCCCCCCTAGGTCCAGGATTACCTTCTTCACCCAAATCTCCCTTCCCGGTTCAGGAAGAGTGTCTGGTCTTGTTTGTCAGACTCTCGAAGCCCCTGCTTCCTATTGTGTTGTCTGACCCAGGAGTAGGACAAAGAGGGTGCCTTGAAGGATTGATTACCACCCTTTGCACTGTCTTTTTCTTAATTTTGAAGGCTAGAAAGGAAGAACCAAAAAAAAAACAAAAAACAAAAAACAAACAAAGACAGTCTAAGCCAAAATCAAACAACTGAAGAAGAAAATAAACAGAAAAATAAACATCCCCTTGAAAGTTAAGGCCTTGAATTTCATGCAATCTTTTATTCCCGTTATTTACTCTTATTAATCAGATTGAAGTATCTGGTTACCCAAGCTCTTACCTACAAGCAGGGCTCCTCCTCTGATACACCTGTGCCATTCTACACCGGCTTGGAAGAGGGACAGTGACCCAGAGAGCTCCTCTTTGTTCTCCAGTTTCACATTCTATTATGTAGCCCGAGGCACTGAACTGGCTAATCAGCTTGATTTACAACCTGAAACCACTCCAGCTCCTCTGTATTGGTTCCTAACATTTATATAACACAGGTCCTCAGAGGTGTTTACAGCACACTTCCTGCCATCTACCGTTTTATTAATCCTCACAACTGTATGGGCTTTAACATTTTTTTATTTTAAATTCCTAATTCATGGAAAGGCAAATCCTGGCAAAACAAGTTCAGGGCCAGCAAGCAGTTTGAGATGATATGCCTGGAGTTAGTCAGAGGCTGGGCAGGACCAGGAGTCAGAAGTTCCAGCACTTATTTCAGAGATTCTATCATCATCATCATCATCATCATCATCAGATATATTTAAAGTTACACAAGTAAATATTGCATTCAATTCTGAAATATATGTAAGAACATTATCTATAAAGTGAAAATCTTTCTTGACATCTTCCCATCTTGACTTGTTCAACACCTCAAGGCACCATTATGGGCTTGGCAAGAATCTTTCCAAATTTAGTTTTGTTTTGTCATATATATCTACATATCAGTTATTTCCATTGACATTGTGTCTGTAGCTATATTTTTATAAAGGATTCATGTTTGGGGCTATATAGTATTCCACCATACTCATGTGGCACTAATTTATTCATTCTCCTTTTGATGAATATTTATGTGATTTCCAATTTTTCGCTTTGGCAAACACTGCAACACTGAATGTTTTTGTACATTTCTCTTAGACCTATGTGGAAATGTTTCTCTAAGATTGAATCCTAGAAGAGGAATTGTTGGGTCACAAGTTATATAATTTCAGTTTGAACAACTACTGCTAAAGTAAATCCCAAAGAGCCTTTCCAACTAGTACACCCAAAATCAGTTGTATGAGGGTGTATCTCTCTATAACTTTGCAAAAATCCTTATTCTTCTTAGACTTGTCCATGTGTAACTTTTAAAAGTTAAATATGATTCTCAATATATTTTACAAATACAGAGTGCACATGTATAAAAATGTATTCAACTCATTAATTAATGAGAAAATTTGTAATATGAAAAAGCTATTTCAAAGACCATTTGGAAAAATGTATTAATATAGTTCTTAATAAAATGTTAAAAGAAAATTACTAGGCTACATATAAAGTGGTTAATGTCCTACAGGCCAATAAATTATAACCTTAAAGTTATCTTTTTTTGGCATTTCTATAAGGAACAAATCTGCAAGTTAATATATAACCTTACAGAGTTTTATTAATAGTAAATAGCAATATCAAACAATGTTACAGTCCCCCAGAAAAAATCCTTGGGCCTTTGAATGATGCTTCAATAGGACATTGAAAGGCCATACATTGAATGGATGACTACCCCTTTGGCCTTATATCCAGGTTTTGGATAATTTTTCTTACCTATTAAAAAAAATCTGTACCAATGCAATGAATTTAAAATGGCAGTTCATTGTGAATTTCTAACTGGTAATTACTTTGAGGCATTTGTTATTTTTATTTGGCCAACCAGTTCTCTCAAGTTCTCTCTCTCTCTCTCTCTCTCTCTCTCTCTCTCAATTTTCCATTGATTTTTAGAGAGAGTGGAAGAGACACAGAGAGAAACATCAACCAATTGGTTGCCTCCCACCTGTGCCCTGCCAAGGCCAGGGATTGAGCCTACAACAGTGGTACTTGCCCTTGACCTCCTAGGACCCGTAAGTTTCAGAGACAATGCTCTAGCCACTGAGCCAAATGGGCTAGGGCACTTCCAGGTCTCTTTAAACATCAGTGGTAGGAAAATACTTTTTTCTCTAGTGACCAGAAATGCCCGACACAAACTGAAGGGCAGCTTCACAAAGTTAGGCCTCCTAGGTGACAGGGGAATGAAGACTTGCTTTATCCTAGGAAAGATTTTACACAGCAAAGTGTGCCCTCAAAATTGGATGCATAGCCTGGCTGGTTCAGTGGTTGAACCAGGTCACGGTTGATTCCCAGTCAAGGCATATGCCGGGGTTGCCAGTGGGGGTGTGTGCAGGGGTGTGCAGGAGGCAGCCAATAAATGATTATATATAGTCATTGATGTTTCTATTTCTCCCTTCCTTTCTTAAATCAATAAAATCAATAAAATCAATAAAATCAATAAAAATATATTTAAAAAAAACTAAATGCACAAAGGCAGCTTCCTTCTGGCTTTCAGAATGCTAAAGATGCTGCCCACACCAGTGGCAGTGGAGGAAAAGGAGTGTGTCCAGAGAGGACCAGTGGGGTGGGGTGGGGTGGGGGGAAGGAAATGGTGTTTGGTGGGCCTTTGTTTGGGGAGGAAGAACTCTGTCTGCTCTGCTCTTAGGTCCCTTTCTGGGCGGACTTTCTTGGTCAGTCTACCCATCACTCAACACTTATTGACCCCCCTCTCCCACCTCCCACCCCTACAAGGGCTGGCGATGGGCAGAGGGTTTTTCAAAGGACAAATGGGGAGCATGACCAACACAGGGAGGTGAAGATAGACCGAGATGGTGAACTTTGAAGATGTGCTATCCAGCAAGTCCGGATAAAACCCGGTAGCGGCGATGTGTGCGGGGCAAAGGAACAACTCTGGATGGAGTTAAAGTATCGGCCACCTGGCCTCAGCCCTGGTTGGGCTTTTGAGATTTCCTATGACTTGGTGCAGCACTGGGGGCCTCACGCTGGCTTCCCCATCCCAGCCCAGAGCGAGTGATGGCATTTCTGTAACCAACATCCAATTCTTAAACTATCGCTGAAATCATCGTTTGTGAGGAGCAGCCCGAGGAACTGGAGGCTGAGTCCCCGCTGCTGGAACCCGTCTTCTTTCAACGTGGACGCTTCCCCAGTTGGACTCCCCATCCCTCCGACTCACAAACGGCTGCTGGATGTCTTCCCGCCAGTTTGTCATGGGTCTTGGCAGGGGGTCCGCTCCCTTTTAGAGGGCAACTCCTTGGCTGCGGACCCAGGCCTAGGAGACGCCCCTTCCCTGTTGGGGCCTGCCCTCCGGTCTGTCTTTCCGGCGCGTCCCGGTCGGTCTGCAGCCACTCCGGGCCGTGGCACGCCTGGAATGCACCGGGGGCCGCGGGGCGGGAGGACGCGGGGCGGGACCGCCGGCTCCCGGGGTGGCAGTGCGGGACTGGCTAGAGGCAAACAGTCCCAACGCCCCGCGACTCGGATCTCGGGTTCTGAGTGTGCCCCGCAGACTCCCTCCGCGCTTGGCCCAGCCGCCGCCCCCCACGGCCCGCAGCGACCCCAGGATCCCCAGGAGGAAAGAGGAAAAAGTCTCCAGAACCCGAGCGCAGGCCCGCCACGCCCAGGCGTCACGGGGAGGGGGCAGGAAGCCGGAGGGCGGTCGGGTCTGGGAGGGGCGAGGGGGCGGGCCGAGCGCTGGGGTCGCCCCGATTCGGCGGGCAGGGGTCCTCCGGCCCCGCGGCGCGGGCTCGGGGCGGGCGGCGCCGGCGTGGGCGGCGGGCCAGCCCCTCCGCGCCCCCTCCCCGGAGGCGGAGGAAGGGACCGGCCGCAGCCTCGACGTCGCCGCCCGCGGCGGGAAGCGCCTTAAAAGCCGCTGCTCGGCCGCCGCCCGGTGCTCGCCGGGCTGCTCGGGAGTGTGCGCGGAGGCCGGGGACTGGCCGCCGACCGACCGACTTCCGACGGACCGCGATCCCGGGCAGCCCCCCAGACCGGCCGGCCCGGCTTGGGAGGGAGAGACCCGGACAGACCCCGCTCGGCCCCGGCACCCCGGCCGCCCGGACGCGCCCCCTGCCGGCGGGCAGCGCGCCAAGGGCGCGGCGGCGGGGGCATGTGAGCCCGCGGGATGGCCTCGGCGGTGTTTGAGGGCACCTCGCTCGTCAACATGTTCGTGCGCGGCTGCTGGGTGAACGGCATCCGCAGGCTCATCGTCAGCCGGCGCGGGGACGAGGAGGAGTTCTTCGAGATCCGCACCGAGTGGTCGGACCGCAGCGTCCTCTACCTGCACCGCAGCCTCGCCGACCTGGGCCGCCTGTGCAAGCGCCTCCGGGACGCCTTCCCCGAGGACCGACCGGAGCTGGCCCGCGCGCCGCTGCGCCAAGGTGCGGGGCGCGGGGCGCGGACTGCGGGCGGGGTCCAAGGGGGAGTGCGGTTGTGAGGTGTTTTAAAGTGCACGAAGGGGAGAGGGAAGTTACTTGAACTGAGACTGCGGCTTTCCTTCCGTCCCGCCGCGGACTGGGGACACTTCGCCCCTCTGCCCCAGGGGAAGGGCGCCCGGAGTGCCGGTGGTAAGAGGACAGGGAGTCGCTCATGGAACGCCGGCCTGGACACCAGAAGAGGTGCCCTGACCGTCACCTCGGGCCCGTCACTGACCAGGACCAGTGCGGCGGCCGGTGTAGGGGTGGCCCCGGGCCTCTCAATCTGGGCGCCTGCCCCGGATCAGTGGTCGCTCTGTCCCCACTCCCGGGAGGGCCAGCTGCGACCCTGCCCCGCCCAGGGGGCGGCAGTCGGGTGCTGGGGAGACCTATGGGAAGAGCTGACAGTGTCCGGTTGGGGGTTGCGCCCCCCAGACTCCTCCCCCGGGTTGACCTCGCTGACAGAGGAGCTGGAGTGCGTGTTGCCACGCAGCCTTCTGTCACCGCTGGGGAGGGGCAGCCCCACGGGGTGGGTCCACATTTGCTTTTGATTAACTGTGGCAGCCTCCTCCCTCGCCTTGTGACCTAGCCTGGCTCCTAGGACTGGAGTTTCAGAGATCTGCTGTGGCTTCACATTTCCTACTGCCTGTCTGTCGCCCGTCCCACTGGCTGCCCTTTGGAGGGCGGAGGTGGGAAGAAGGAGGAAGGGCCAGAGAAGCTAAAATTGAGATGGAAAGGATTGCAGAGGGAGAGAAGGGGCCAGGAAAGTCTGCAGGGCTCTAAGCAACCTCACTTTCCTTATATCCTTTCCCTCCCCGCCATGACCACCTGCAGTGAGGTGACACCCAGAAGCCTTCCTCTCTGCAGTTCTCTAAGCAGAAACTGGGTGGCACTTTGGGGGCAGTTATTGAAGCTGAGGGTGGCAGGGACAAGTCTCCTTAGCTGCTGTCCACCTGAGGTCTTAAGATAACCTCTCCTTACCCCCTGGCGATCCCCACTCCCACCCCAGAGTGTGAATTATATGGCTCATCAGCTCAGTTCCCATGACTCATCCGCTGGCTGACACGTCATTTTGGAAAGCTGGTGAGTCTGGAGACCCTGAGCGAGACAGCTTACCTTGCAGGCTTCTCTTTGCTCCCCAGATTCCCTCATGTATAGCCATTCTGCAGTCAGTTTAGGATTATTTTAAGCATGGCAACAGGTCTCCTTGGGCTTGCTATTTGGGTGTGTGTTATTGTATTTTTTAAATTCAAATGAATGCCCAAATCAAGAAAGCTTAGTTGTGTTTTTTCCTTTCTGGAACTAGGTGGACCATGAACGAATGGGGCCCCCTAAGGCCTTCAGAGCGCCTGCCTTCCCCCTGCTCTCCGGGTCTCACTAGGTCAGGTGGCCCAGCTCAGCCGTGACCCTGGGCACCCTGTTTGGTCCCTCCTCTGTAACATAGTGCCTGCTGCTCACTTTTGTGTATGTGAGGATTAAAATGCAGAGTGGAGTGTCTAGCAGAAGAAAGCCCTGCTTCTGGTGAGACTGGTAGATGGTGGTAGGAGGAGAGCGTGGCTCTGGCTGCCCTGGGATGTGATAATGAAAAGTCTTACCTGGAGCAAAAGGGAGATGAGTGTGAGGCCTTGCCCCGCCCTGCACATGCCCCTGGCGCGGTGCCTTCTGTGTGCATTTGAGTTGTGCTGGGTCAGTTTAGGTTTCTGAGATGTAGACACACACAGAGTACCTCTGAAGAGTGAGCCACTTACAAGTGAAGAAAGGTTTAGGATGATGGGGGGCGGGGGGGAGTAGACTTGAAAAGTGGTTGAGTGCTCAGTGGTTAGTGTCAGCCCAGGCACCAAAGGGTCATGGGTTTGATTCCCAGTCAAGGGCACGTACCTGGATTGCAGCTTCAATTCCTGACCCGGTCAGGGCATGTGCAGGAGGTATCCAATAGTTGTCTCTCTCATATCAGTGTTTCTCTTTCCTCCTTCTACTTTCTAAAAATTGATGGAAAAAATAACCTTGGATGAAGATTAATGAAAGAGAAAAGAAAGGGTATAATAGGTACTTTCAATTATCTGACGGGGAGGGAGAAATTCAAATGAGGTATTAGCCATAGTGGTGGAGGCAGTGGGGGAGTGAGGATGAGGTCCAGCGGCTGGGTGAAAGGACTTTATAGCAGTCTGTGGTGGAACTGTTGGAGCCTTTGGCTGGATCCCTGGCTCAGCAACCTTAATTCCCCATCTAGTCCTTGATTCTCTGAAGGGAGGCAAGCTGGTCCCTCCCTAAGCACCACCTGAGTTTTGTACAATCCTAAGGGAAGTCCGTTTCCTTTTCAGAACTGTCCAGGGAAATCATTTTCATAGTAAAATGCATCCAGTAATGTAAAAGAAAAGTCCACCTCATTTCTATGTGTCAGATATCATTCTAGGTGTTAGGGACAGGGTAGTGACCAAAAAAGACACCCTCCCCCCCAAAAAAAAAAAAAAAAAAATCCCTGTCCTCATGATTCTTATATTCTGGTTGGAAGAAACCTAGTAATAAACAAATATGATAGTGATAAATGTTCAGAAGATAAGAAATAAGTAAGGAAAAGAGCTATTGCTTATGGGGGCAGGGAAGTTAGGATGGTCTGAATGGTCTGAAAGGAAGTGACCTTTGAGCAGAAACCTGAAGGAAGGGAGGGAGCCAGGCCACATCACTGCCAGTGGAAGAAAGAGGAGCCAGTGCAAAGGTCCTGAGGCCTGCCCGTGCCTGGTGACTTAGTAGTGAGAGGCCATTGTGGCTGGAGTGGCGAGATGATTGGGAAGGTAGGGAGTGGGCAGGTCACACTCAGATTTGGGTTTTTACTCAGAGATGGAGAGCTTTGAGCAAGTGACTTAATCTAACACACACTCGGGCTGCTGTGCTGAGAATGACCGGGAAGGAGGGAGGCTGGCTCGAGCTGCCGGGACATCCTGGCAGGTGGAGCAGATGTGAGACATGGCCAAGCACTGGTATGTCTGGAAGGGAAGAGCACAGCATTGACAGGGAGACCAAATGTGGGTGTGAAGGAGCATCAGGCTCGCAGCCAAGCTTTCAGCCTGAGAAACGGAATTGCACTCACTGGGACGGGAAACCTGCAGGAGCCGGGGTAGGGCTCCAACTCTGAGTGTATTTCGGCGTTTTCTCCAGATAAGGTCCCTCATTGGGAGCCTGTGGGGTGCACAAGTCTATTCACCTTTATCACTGAAAATTTTAACCTACCTGTAACCTCATGGACTGTCTGTGCTTAGATGTGAGGTCTGAGGGATGGAAGCTAAGGTATCTAGCGTATTATCAGGAGACACCTACCAGCCTCACACACCCTGATAGCTCGAGGAAAATGTGTCCTCTGCTCCCAGGCCTGAGCCTGTCCTGTGGGCAGAGAGGGAAGAAGCTCAGTGCTGCCCCAGGCCAGCTGGGAGAACGCCACCTGCTGGACGGTATGGACCGCAGAGTCTCAGTTTATATTCTAAGAGGCTGAGGGAAGTTCCAGCCACCTGGGCCCTGGGCAGCAGAGCGGGGCACAAAGGCCTTTTTTGCCCGGCCAGATGTGTGCTCAGTGAGCCTGCCCCTCGCCTATGCCTTAGCTCCCACCCCCATGTATAGCCCCACCACAGGGTGTCCTGTCCCTCCTAACGGGTGGTTTTCACCTCTGGGGGTTCGGGGTATCCTTTCAGATTCACAGGCCAATTTTGAGATTCTTCCATGGGTAGTGCGCCTGGGCTGGGTGCTTTCCCAGGACCCCGGCAGCGTGGCTGCATGCTCTGCCACCCGTCCTGGCTGCAATTGTCCCCCTCCATGTCGCCTGCTCTTCCTCTTTCCTCCTTCCGCTTTACCTATCTTTCCCAGGTCCACATCCCATCACTGCCCAGACTTCCTCTGGTTTCCTTGTGCTGGTGCTTCTGGTGTCCAGTCCGGTCTCTGCAAGTGGCCACATGGCTGAGTTCGGTTCATGATCCTGTGATCTCATCCCAAGAGAGCTCACTGTGCTGCGGGCACAGGTGACCCGAGCTAACTCTCAGCTAGAGAAGGAGCTGACGTGGTGCTTTCCACCAAAGATCAGAGGAGAAACTCAGTTCTGCTTCTCAGGACAGAACCACTGTGGCATCCTGGCTGCCCTCAGGATGGCCCCCCGGGACATGGATCCCCATCTAGGCCTCACCTTTCTCTGCTGTCTCTTTTAATCAACCCTTTTCCAAAAGGTGAGAGATACTCCTGCATTGTGGACAGTGGCAATCCGGGAAGATTCAGAGTACCAGGCAAGCTAATAACGGTGGGTACTGCTGGATAGGACGGACCGCAGAGTCTCTGAGTTTACATTCTAAGAGGCTGAGGAAAGTTGGAGCCACCTGGGCCCTGGGCAGCAGAGCGGGGCCACAAAGGCCTTTGCCCGGCCAGATGTGTGCTCATGAGCCTGCCCCTCGTCTGTGCCTCAGCTCCCACCCCCATGCATTTGCCTCTTCTGGCTGAAGCCCAGCTTGGAGTTGCATCATGCTCACGGGATTCAGGAGACAGAGAGGCTGGTGGTGAGTTATGACCCCGACGTGCATTTGACCCACGTGGCACAGTCCTCCAGGCAGGTGTCCTGTGGGAACTCTGGGCTCTGGACGGTAAATAGGACAGTATGTTGTTAACGGTGGTTGGCATTGCCCGCCCACTGAAATACAGATTTTTATTGGTATTTTTGTTCACTTTTACTTTCTTGGGTGACGGTCGGCATCCACTGATCACTGCTGGTTGTCACCACTAAAAAAATGGCCCCCTTGTCCCGGAGCCTACAAGCCCCAGAGCCCCGTGATCAGAAACCTTTCTTTGGTGAGAAGGCCAGGGAGCCTGAGGGTTAGGGTCTGCTCTCCGTTCCATCTGGGCCTGCTGTGGCCTCCCAGCAATGACATGATGGCAGCCCACGTGTCCCCCTGGAGCTCACTCTGTGCTGAGATGCCGCTCTCTAAGCACACACC